TGTGTGGATTTGGCACGGTAAAGAAGGAGAGTACAATGGGGATGTTATTGGGAATGATGTGCATGATGATAGAAGCAATGATATTCGTGTGGACGAGGAATACAAGAATGATGAATTTATTGCTGATAATGGTGATGAGGATGGATTTGATGATGATCAGGTGGATGAGGTGGAGGATGAAGGGGTGAATAAAATGATGCGTGGTGTTGAAGGTGACGTGTTTGAGTCGTTATCGGAGGCTTCTAAAATGCCTTTGTATCCTGGGTGCAAAAAATACTCCAAACTATCAGCTGTGCTAACACTGTTTAACATTAAGTCGAAGCATGGGTGGACGGACAACAGTTTTACGTCTTTGTTGACCGTGTTAAGTGAGATGTTGCCTGACGGGAATGAAATTCCTAAGTCATACTATTATGCAAAGAAGCTCATGTGTCCATTTGGTTTGGAGTATAAGAAGATACATGCATGTCCTAATGATTGTATTCTTTATCGAAATGAATATGAACAATTGGAGGAGTGTCCAAGATGCAAGAAGTCGCGCTACAAGCGCATGAGTTGCAATGCTGGTACGAAGGGACCTCCTGCGAAGGTGTTGTGGTATCTTCCCATCATTCCAAGGTTTAAGCGTCTTTTCTCAACACCAAAAGACGCAAAAAACTTGAGGTGGCATGCAGAGGGAAGAAAGAAAAACAGAATGCTGAAGCATCCAGCTGACTCCTCGCAATGGAAGAACATTGATATGAAGTTTGGTGAATTTGGTGATGAAGCCAGAAATTTAAGGCTTGGGTTGTGCACGGACGGGATGAATCCATTTGGCACTCTTAGTACCCAGCACAGCACATGGCCAGTAGTTTTAGTGATCTACAATTTGCCTCCTTGGTTGTGCATGAAACGTAAGTATGTAATGCTTTCACTACTAATAACTGGGCCAAGGCAACCTGGAAACGACATAGATGTTTATCTTGCGCCACTTGTTGACGATTTGAGAAAGATGTGGGACGAAGGGGTTTCCGTGTTTGATGCTCATAAGAATGAGATGTTCACCTTGCGTGCAGCTCTTATGTGGAACGTTAATGATTTCCTGCATATGGAAACTTGTCTGGGTACAAGAACAAAGGAAAAAAAGCATGCCCCATTTGTATTGATGACACTCCAAGCATACACCTTGACAATTGTCACAAAGAGGTGTATCTGCGGACTCCAAGGTTGCTAAGGCGCGATCACCCGTACCGTAGGCAGAAAAAGACTTTCGATGGGAAAGCGGAAGAGGGGACTGCGCCTAGGCCATTGACTGGTGAGGAGGTTTATGATCGAGTTAAGGGTATACGAACAGTATTTGGGAAAACAGAAAAAGCTGCGGACTCAACTGCTCTGTTTAAAAAAGAATCAATCTTTTGGAAGCTTCTGTACTGGAAAGAACATGATGTTAGGCATTGTCTTGATGCAATTCATATAGAGAAGAATGTGTGTGATGCTCTTGTGGGAACGCTGATGAATATTCAAAGCAAAACAAAGGATGGAAAGGGTGCACGGTTAGATTTGGAAAAGATGGGGGTTCGTCCAGAATTGTGGGCTCAGGAAAAGGTTAGAAAGGGAAAGGAACAGGAAAAGAGAGGTGAAACGAGTTCGAAACAAGGAAAGGGGAAGAGCAAGGGAAAAGGAAAGTCCACAGATGCGTTGAAGAAGAATTATGATGGAAAAGCAAAGGATGCCAAGGCTTATTTACCTCCGGCTTGCTACACATTGTCAAGGGTAGAAAAACGGATGTTTTGTGCATGTTTGTACGGCATTAAGGTTCCATCAGGGTATGGATCTAACATGAAAAGATTTGTATCCTTAAATGGAGAATTGAAGCTGACAAGTATGAAATCCCATGATTGTCATGTTCTTATGCAAGTATTCCTACCAATTGCAATACGTGGTATTTTACCGAAGCACGTGAGGGAAGCTATTACAAGCCTCTGTTCTTTTTTCAATACAATATGCAGCAAAGTGCTTGATCCTTGTGCACTTGATGCTTTGCAGGCGGATGTGGTTGTGACTTTGTGCAAATTTGAGATGTACTTCCCACCCTCATTCTTTGACATAATGGTGCATCTTATTCTTCATTTGGTGCGTGAAATTAAGTTGTGCGTTCCAGTGTTCATGAGGTGGTGCTATCCTTTTGAAAGACACATGGGTACATTGCAAAACAAGGTAAGGAATCGGGCTCACCCGGAAGGAAGTATGATTCAAGGGATCGTGGGTGAGGAGATTGGTAATTTTGTGGCCGACTTTATAGCTGTTGCTGAACCTATTGGTCTTCCTACTTCTCGACATGACGGGAGACTTGATGGTCACGGCACAATCGGGTCAAAACGAATGTCACCTGACCGAGATAAGTTTTTACAAGCACACCTATATGTGTTGCACCATGTTGCAGATGTTCACCCATACTTAGATGAGCACATGGCTAGTTTGCGTGATGAATTTCCATCGAAAGGTGAAAGGGCATTGATGCAGTTGCATAATAAGAGGTTTGTGAGTTGGTTTCGTGATCGAGTGATGGGTAGAATGGATGGGAGTGTCACTGATACAGTAAGGTGGCTTGCTTATGGTCCTAGGGATGATGTTCGCTCATTTGAGGGATATGACATAAATGGGTACACTTTTTGGACTGAGCGTCAGGATTTGAAATCTTCCTCGACCCAAAACAGTGGTGTAACGCTTGTGGCATCGTCAAGGGAGTTTGCAAGTGCTAAGGATAAATCATCCGTTGATGCAGAGTTATCATACTATGGTCGAATTTAAGAAATATGAGAGCTTGATTATTGTAGCTTCACGATTGCTCTTTTCCGGTGTAAATGGGTTGATAATATCAGGCGTAACGTCAAATATGATGACTTTACTCTTGTAGATCTTAGCCACCTAAATGACAGTGCGGAACCATTCATCCTTGCATCTCAAGCCAAGCAAGTGTTTTACGTAATTGACCCAGCAGATATGAAATGGTCTATTGTGCTAGCCGGCAAAAGAAGAATCCTAGGCATTGGAGATGTCGAGAATGAGGAAGAATATGATGCGTTTGATGACTCGGCACCTTTGACTGTTCCTAGACCTGTTGTACCAAATGACGTAGACGACCAAACCAATTATGTGCGATTAGACCACAACGAAGGAATATTAGAATGAGGTACTATTTTTCAGCAATTTTGCAATTTTAGGTGTTGAAAGTATTATCAAATGACAGGTTAGCCGAAAATGAATTAATTAATTGTCATAAGTATTATAATTAGGCAATTTATATTTGATTTTATAACTGTACCTTACACATGTATTTATAATACAACTACTAACGTGTTATGATTGTTATGGCAGGTGATTACATCTCATGGCGGACAATCAAGTCCGTATTTGTGTCGAGGATGTAGAGGATGATGATGATGATTTCTCTGAGGATGGTGATGAGTTGTATTATGTGAACAAGGAGCCTGATTTGGGTGAGGCAGAAGATCAGGCTCAGGATAAGTTGGAGCGTAGGCTGGATGAATTTGAAATGGAGGCTGAACAAGCGCCTCCTATTGAAAATGCAGTTTCTGAGACGGTTGGTCAGAACGCTACTTCCCACAATCACAGCCAAGGACAAAGTGGAGGAGGGGTTAGGGCACCGGCTAAAAAAAAGGTGAGGGGTCCGACGACAAGTTTCAAGAAACCTGTCGGTCGCATGGTCCTGGAGTACGACAAGGCGGGCCAACTTGTAGGCAAATTCCGTCGTCCATATGGTGTTCACGTTGGCATTTGTGCGCGTAAAATCCCAATTACACTTCGTATGCGGGAAGTACCTCCAGGCTTGATTGACACATTTTGGAATGATACAAGGGCAAGTGTTTTATTTGCATATTTATACAATTATAAATACCTTTACTTTAATGTTATGTAAAAGGGGAAACTAATAATCGACTTTATTTGTGTTTGCAGAGTCTGCTTAATATTTCTAATGATGCCGCCAAGCGAATGGTGTTTGAATCTTTGCTAGCGGAAAGATTCAGAGGCTTCAAGAGCGAATTAGTTTGTGGTTGGATCACAAAGACTGTTGTGAAAAAACCAAAGAAGAAGAAAGGCAATGATGATGAAGTCATCAATGAAGAGCTACTCCCATGGCAAAAATGGCCAAACATATCGAAGGATGATTGGGAAGCTTTTGTTATTCAACAAAGTACAAAGGAAGCAATTGTAAGTTTAAGTAAATTTGATTACAATTGTATAATATATTATCTCTTTTTGTAGTAATAATACTAACAATTCTAATTACGTAGGAACTGAGGGAGCAAAATTCCAAAAATGCAAAGAAGAAGCAATACACCCAACGTATGGGGTGTAAGACATTTGGTGAATGGAGGGAAACGTGGGTCAACGAAGGAGTATACCCCACTTCGCTACTAGGGTCGTCCAAAGGACCCTCTTCTTCCACGATCACTACGCTGGTGAGTCGTGCTGGTGATTTCTTCTGTTCACTGCATGCGCGTGACAAGGAGACAAGAAAATGGGCCATCAAGGCTCCGGAAACCAAAGAAATGGCTGATAAGCTCGTAAGAAACTACAAACTTGAGAACTCTATGCTATTGGTTTCTGTTTTGTTGCGTTTAGCTATCTTGTATGTGTTGGTGGTCGGCTATTATTTCTGTTTTTTTTTTTGCTACAGATTGAACGCACCGAAGAACTGGTTGAAGGCAAGCTTATCCCAAATGTAGAAAAAGACCCTTTCACCTTGGCTTTGGGAAAGCCCTACCATCCAGGACGGGTAGTAGGTGCAAGAGGGTCATTGCTAGGGTGGGAAAAGGTGATGGGTCCAGAGTATACCAAATCAGGAAGATCCCGAGCAAGTGTGAACTCACCTCTTGACTTGGTTTTCACGGTGGCATCGATTAAGGAACAAGTCCGCAACGAGCTCGTAAGTGAATTTAACGCTTGGGCGAAGCAAATGAACCTACCGAGCTTGCCTTTCCCCTCGAATACACCCATCGACTCATGTAGTCACCCAAAAGGACAAGGGGAAGATGATATACATGGAGACGATGATGCAAATGAGGTACTTTCAAAACTCTTAGTTTTGGAATATTGAGTTATGTAGGATCTAAGGTGGCAGTCATTAATTTCTTGTTACAGGGTGGTACGCCTACACATGCGGACTCGAGGGAGCTCGATAATCCAGCACCTCATCATTTTCCAGATTTACAGGTGATTTTGTTTAGTTCTATCTTATTGAATATGGGCACATTATCAATCTTAATGAATATGGAAGGTTCTAATAACTGATCTTTCAAATTGGTGTAGGAAGAGACCCGTTGTGCACTTCTACACCCGGACGAATCTGGAGCTTTGCATGTGGTTGCATATGGTAGTGCACAACCGGCCGAACAAGGTACGGTCCATTTACGACCGCTTAGGCCACAACATTACTCGGTTGGGATCAATTCTGTTATTAGCGGGTTCGAGGACATCCTAATACCGGTGCCCATAGAGGAGGATGAGTTTACTACACTTTGGGCGGCAAAAGATATTTGTGCAGTGGCCATGTGCTTGGGTAAGGTTGATGAACCAGGTAATTAAGATTTTGGGTTCGTTCTTTACTTTATGCCCGGTTGTCTTCACAAGAGTTAGATGGATTTGGCTTTTCTAACCAATTGTGTGATTTTTTGTATTAGATTTCGCAAAAAAGACAAACTTCAAAGAGGAGGGTGGAAAAACCAATAAGCGTTGATCAACCGGTGCCAAAGAAGAGGAGTGAACAAAGGTCGGAGAGAGAAAAAGGGTCGAAGAAGAACTCTTCGAGAGGTTCATCTTTGCAAGCTACTCCACTTGTTGCTGACACGGTCCTTCAAACGCTGTCTAAAGATTTAACATTTCTACACAACCGTGTTAGTATGTTGCCTAGTGACACTCCCATTCAAGTTGCATTACCTAAGGCAATGTTCCACTTTGATGAGGATGCAGTTGCATGGCTTAGCAAAGAAGATGTGAAAGAATTTCTAAGTGGTTCAATGCTTAACATCTCCCTCGTTCAAACATTCATGAGGTAATTTAATGCCAGACACTATTATGTTATTCAGATTAGTGGTGATTGCTTGTCATTTAATTTCCCATTAATATTTTGTTACCATGCATGCAGAGCACTACAGGAGCACTTACTTGAGATTGATTCTCCGTGTCAAGTAGGGTGGTTATGCCCCGAGCAAATCTCCACTACTAGAATCTTAGGCAACTACTCAACGTGTTGTACTATGTTGAACGGGGTATCAAGGAAGCATTGCGTGCGGGTGACAAGTTCATATTCGCCCCATGTTTTGAGGAGTACGTTTGACCATGTCAAATTCATTTGTTTCCCCTAATTATATGTTGTACACGGCTAATTATTGACTTGTTTGTGTATTGTCCATTTCTGTAGTACACATTGGACCCTGCTGGTGATTTGTGTTCCCAGTAACACCATCTTCCTTTTTGATTCAGCTCGATTGCCTCATCCGAAAAAGTTCCTCGTGAAGTCTATACTGCGAAAGTAAATATAGCTATCTAGTGTTGATTATCCTTACTTAACTCATTTATTATATTAGTCATACTAATCAAGTTTGAACTTACTTTTCTATAGTGCTATGAAGAAGATAAATTTCCGAGCTCCTCAAGGTCCTACATGGAAATCACCGATGGTAATGCTAGATGATTTTGTGATTTATATAATAAACAATGCGTAAGATGTTGCTAATTTGTTATGCATGTTTGATTCATTTACTTTGTTCCTATGCTAGTGCGCACAACAAGATAACGGAGTTTATTGCGGATTGTACGTGATGAGATTCATGTTGGACATACTGAGTCATTGTACAGACTTACAACAACTTGATGAGGTATGCCATTGACTTAATTAATTTGCTTTTGTGGTGTGTTTTGATAAGAGAAAACCCTTGAATTGCGTCTTAAAACCCTTGAATTGTTCTTTTAATGTGATTTCAAGCCTTAGCTGCCTCTCACTAGGTAATATTGACATGTTAAAAGAAAGAATGAGTTGATTTGATAAGAAGTGTAGAAAATAGGCAAACAAGTAGTGATATAGGCCTTATTCGGGCCATTTAGCTTAAAAATGCGTCTTAAAACACTTGACTTGCTCTTTTAATGTGATTTCAAGCCTTAGCTGCCTCTCACTAGGTAATAATGACATGTTAAAAGAAATAATAAGTGGATTTGATAAGAAGTGTAGAAAATAGGCATACAAGTAGTGATATAGGCCTTATTCGAGCCATTTAGATTGAAAATGCGTCTTAAAACACTTGACTTGCTCTTTTAATGTGATTTCAAGCTTTAGCTGCCTCTAACTAGGTAATAATGACATGTTATGAGGAAGAATGAGCTAATTTGATTAATTCGGCATACAAGTAGTGATATAGGCCTTATTTCGGCCATTTTGAATGAAATTGCGTCCAAAAACCATTCAAATGCTGTTTTAATGTGATTTCAAGCCTTAGCTGCCTCTCACTAGGTAATATTGACATGTTAAAATAAAGAATGAGTTGATTTGATAAGAAGTGTAGAAAATAGGCATACAAGTAGTGATATAGGCCTTATTCGAGAATGTGTGGTTGAAAATGCGTCTTAAAACACTAGACTTGCTCTTTTAATGTGGTTTCAAGCCTTAGATGCCTCTAACTAGGTAATAATGACATGTTATGAGGAAGAATGAGCTAATTTGATTAAAAATGTAGAAATTGGGCATACAAGTAGTGATATAGGCCTTATTTCGGCCATTTTGAATGAAATTGCGTCCTAAAACCATTCAATTGCTCTTTTAAAGTGATTTCAAGCCGTAGCTGCCTCTCACTAGGTAATAATGACATGTTAAAAGAAAGAATGAGGTTATTTGATAAGAAGTGTAGAAAATAGGCATACAAGTAGTGATATAGGCCTTATTCGGGCCATTTAGGTTGAAAATGTGTCTGAAAACACTTGACTTGCTCTTTTAATTTGATTTCAAGCTTTAGCTGCCTCGGTAGGTAATAATGACATGTTATGAGGAAGAATGAGCTAATTTGATTAAAAATGTAGAAATTGGGCATACAAGTAGTGATATAGGCCTTATTTTGGCCATTTTAAATGAAATTGCGTCCAAAAACCATTCAAATGCTCTTTTAATGTGATTTCAAGCCTTATCTTCCTCTCACTAGGTAATAATGACATGTTAAAAGAAAGAATGAGTTGATTTGATAAGAAGTGTAGAAAATAGGCATACAAGTATTGATATAGGCCTTATTCGGGCCATTTTGGTTGAAAATGCGTCTTAAAACCATTGAATTGTTCTTTTAATGTGGTTTCAAGCCTTAGCCGCCTATTAATAAGTAATATTGACATGCTACGAGTAAGAATGAGTTGATTTGGCAATAAATATAGAAAATAGGTGAAGTAGTAGTCATATAGGCCTATGTATTAAATTTTTGCCTAACTTAAATTGTAAATGTATTTTTACATACATAACCTAAGTAATTATTTCTAGCTAACATCATTTTAGTTTAACCAAGTTTTGCAAGGTACAGAAAGGAGGTCCATTGACGAGCAAAGAGCTGAATGAAGTTCGAGACATGTTAGCGTCTTTCATCACATATAATTTAATTTGAACTTGTTAACTTATACATTAATTATTAGTATAGTTTGTAAATATAACACCTTTTAATTAATGAGTTGTAAAAGCTATATGACATTTCATTGTATTGCATTTACGGTTATTAATTAATATTTATGTATTGTTGTTATTATTCCAATGTAAAAATTATTATATTATTAGTATTTTTAATAATAATATTATAATAATAATAATAATAATAATAATAATAATAATACGGGTAATAATTATTATTATTATTATAGTTATTATAATATATATTAATGGCATAATTAATACAGGATGTGCAGGTTTTTAATTATTTTTAATTATAAAAAAAAAATTTAAAAAAAAACAGGTTTTTCCCACCGGTTTTTACAATGAACCGGTGCCCAAAACAATTTTGAAAACTGGCACGCTGACTTTTGGCACCGGTTCAATGTGAAAACTGGTGGGAAATCTCATGGTTTTGCCACCGGTTCAATTGAAAACCGGTGGGAAAACTCCTCCAGCTATTTGCTAAATCGCATGTTTTTGCCACCGGTTCACTCCAAAACCGGTGGGAAATATTTGGGGATTTAGCACCCCCCAAATCAAGACCGGTTCAAAACCGGTGGGGAATGTGTGGTTTGAACCGGTGGGGATTGGGGTTTTTCGCCTAGTGGTGATTGTTGATCTAAAATTGATGCAGATTATGTCGTTTGTTAGCTCTTCTCCTTCTAAGGGAAAAAAATACCAGTGTGGTGTGCTAATGGCCAAGCTCACTAGCTAGACAAGGAAGAATCCAGGCAGGAAGTTCATATCCTGTAAGTTTTATGACCCAATCACATAAACAAGGGGCTGCAAAGCTTTCGAATGGGTTAATCAACCTGATGGGACAGATTGGCAAACAGGGATTATCAACAACCTGTTGTTGGATAAGAAGCTGCTAAAGGGTGAAGTCAATGGCTTGAAAAGGGAAGTTGATGAAATCAGTGGCCAAAGGAGGTGCCTACTTAATGAAGTTGATAGTTTGAAGATGAGATGCAAGGCCTTGAACGCTGACAGGAAGAGAATGAACAGGGAGGGTAATGCAAGGAAGATGTCTTCAATCAACTGTTTTGGTTGGGTGGGCATGGCTATTTGTATTGGTTTGTCAATGGTTGTAGTTTTTCTAATGGTTAGGGGTGTTTAATAGTAAGTTGTATGTAGTATTTGATAATTTGTTGTAATGACTTTGGTTTTAGTGTTATATATATGAAAAATTATGAGTGTTGTTGTAGTGATAAATATCCAATATATATGTATCTACACAGCATTTTTATCACTTGATTAAGCTGTTAAATTGAAAATGTTTAAACTTGCACAGATGCACATATTAAGCACTTCATGAAAACTTCAAGTTGACAAAAGAAAACATTGCAAATCTACATTGAAAATGGATAAAAGTACTTCAAGTGCAGGTTGCCAAAAGAACCTTACTTGAACCTGTTTTAATGGCAATCAAAGCCATGCAAAAGCTACAATAATGTAACCAATTGTTTAAATGGCAATCAAGGCCATAATAGACACAATGTTATATTACACAGAGACAATGTTTTATAACCAATTAAGAGTACATCACTGGGTGATGTTTAACTTGCTAAAGGTTTGCAGCTTGGACCTTGTAACAACACCTGTTTGGAGTGGTTGTTGAACTGTGGGTGGTGCAGGCTGACTTGAGGAAGGCTGACTTGAAGAAGGCTGACTTGAGGAAGGCTGCCTTGAGGAAGGCTGGCTTGAGGAAGGCTGACTTGAGCTTGGCTTCCTGGACTGTGACTGTGTTTGCTTGCTTAATGGCAGGCAACCTTCTTGCTCTTGAGGAAACTTCTTGTTTGCTATGCTGTTTGGTCCTGCCCCAATTGCCTCTATGACATGGCATGTAAAATAAAAAAGTCAGTGAAAAAACGTACATATATATTAAACCAATTGGGATTTGGTGTTATGATTGTGTTACCTTTTTTGCAGCCCTAACCTCTTTCTTCTTCCTCTCCTCCACTATCCAAGCTGTGTTCAAGGGGGGTCTGCCTGCTGACTTTATCAGCTCTGTTGCTGGTGCAGCAGGTCCTTTGCAAGTCTTGGCATAATGCCCAAATCCCCCACAGTTGCTACATTGCTTCTTCCTCTTTGTGCTTGCTTGACCCCTTGCAGTGGAACATTCTCCTGGCTCAAGCTTCCTTTTTTTGTTTTTAGGTCTCCCAGGCTGCACCTTAACAGAAGGAGGTAGTGGTTCCCTTATTTGACTCTCTCCCAGTGCTTGGGACCAGGCATTGGTTGGACAGCTGGTTCATAAGCATCCCTGTATGTGTCCATGGTATAGTATGGGTCAACATATGCCTCTATGTCACCCCTCACATCCAACATGCATGCATAAGCATGAACACAGGGAATGCTAGTGAGTTCCCAATGGTAACATGTGCAGGTCTCCTTATCCAAATCAACCAAGACTTGGTCATCCTTCAGCTGCAACTCAAATGTATTCCCTCTTGATGGTTGCACCACACAGGACCTAGCCACAAAGTCTATCCTAGCCAGAACATGCCTCACATATGGCACTAAGTTGTGTGTCATTTCTTTTGAATCCTCCCACTTTTCATTATTCCTGTTCATTATATACCTCCTCATCCATTCCATTTGGGTGAGGATAGGTTTATCTCTAGCAGGCCTAATCACTGCATTGGAAGTCTCACACATGTTGGACTTGCAGTTTGGTGTAAATGCATGTCTACACCAATGACTGGTAGGAATGTTGGCTAAATAGTCATATGCCTCTTCATCAAGGAATTTGATAGACTCCATGGCAATTTCATGCTCAAACTGACAATATTCAATGACATACCAGTTCAGAACAACATGAATAAAAGCAGGACATTTATAACAGATACAGACAAATGCAGACAGAAGCATGAACCAATACTCAGACAATATAAGTAACCATGCAGACAAGACAAGTAACCATGCATACCACTATTCAGGTAAAATGAAGCATATAAAAGCAGGACATTTACAACAGATAAAAACAAATGCAGACAGAAGCATGAACCAATATTCAGACAAGATAAGTAACTATGCATTTACTATAGCCCAAGACAGATGCAGACAGAAGCATGAACCAATACCAGTATTCAGGTTAAATGAAGCATATAAAAGCATTTATGTTTAAGCAAACCAACTTACACAAGTGGTAGCCCTGGCTGCTCTCCAAAATAGCTCCTTGAAGGTTGATCCAGTGTAGTTGAGCTTGAAGTTAGCCCAACTATGCCTAACACAGAACCTTTGTTCTGCTTTGGGAATTACATCAGCCATTGGTTTAATTAAACCCTACCAAATGCAGACAAATGCAAAGTCAAAAGCCATACACATGGAAACTTAAAAATTGAACCTAAATACTAAAAAGGGAAACAAAAGCGTACCTTCTACCTGTCAGACATAATGGTTAGCCCAGCTCCTAGATCATGTGTGAACATTGCCATAAGGGATTCCAAGAACCAACCCCAAGTTTCCTGGTTTTCTATCTCCACTGTAGCCCAAGCTAGGGGAAATAAGTTGTTATTCCCATCCTTAGCCACTGCCACCAGAATTTGCCCAGAAAAGGCACCTTTTAGGTGACAACCATCCAACCCTATTATTGGCCTACAACCTTTTGCAAAGCCATCTCTCATTGGCCTTAAACAGATGAACATTCTCATGAACAAGGGTGGCTCTGGGCTGTTAATACCATCAACAACAACATTGCACCCAGAATTAGGGTTGTACTTCATCACAACTTTCCCATAATCCCACACCCTTGCATACTGCTCCCTAGCTGAACCAAATATGATCAGTTTTTCCCTACACCTAGATAACCATGCCTTATAATAACTCACTTCAATTCCTAAATTATTCAAAATCCTAGCCCTAATCTCCTTAATTCTCCAACCTGGGTTACTCCTAAACTCTTCTAAATACCTCTCTGCTATATATTCAGCAGTAAGCATCTTGTTTTTCTTCACTCTAAAACAGGTGTGGTCTAATATCAAGGTTTTTATTTGCCAAGTTTGCTGCTTCACAAGTTTTGATGCAAACACCTTGAAATGACACTTCACTCCCCCCACACATGTACAAGCAGGCATTCTACAGGTATAGTTATTGAACTCACATGCACATCTATACCTACACTGAATTGTAATCCTTTTACCATCATTATGCAAATAGTTTGTATATTTTTAAATTATTTGTATATTTTTTTAAAATAAATAATAATAATAATAATGGCTATTATTTTTCGTTATTTAAATGGAGTTAGGTATCGCATTTTCGACCTGGTGCGGGGAGGAGCATGGACGTTATTAGAAGTAGAAATTATTCAATGGAGAGCTCTGGGCCCAGACACGTTAGATCCCGTGGTATTTCGGCCTCGGCTCGCAGACAACGAGTTCACTATCTCGAGGAGGATGAAGATGATGATGGTGATGAGGAAAGGAGGAGAAGGAGGACGCAGATGAGGATGTGGTGCTTGGGATGGACGATCAGAGTGGACCATATGATGATTACGGTCCATTCAGTCACAGGCTTGATGATATGTATTAGACGCATAGGGTATATGTGCGTAAGGGTAGAGATGGTAGATTTGTTAGTAGATCTGGCACAACATATACGTCCACTGTGTCTATGGTAAGCAGAAAACGGTTGAGGGCCGTTAATGATTCTTGGGTGGTGGGGGGTGAGATGGCTGGGGGACTTGTAGACGGGAGTGTGATTCCTAGCTTTCTAGGACGCATAGCTACCCGTATCTAGGAGGACCAGGAGAGGGCTTTGGCTATGGGCATTTTGAAATTCCAAACCCGGAAAGGACTTGTAACTTTTTGTGTAGATGGGCTGAGGCTTGGCCGGAGGAGAACGAGATGTTCGGCCGATTGCAAGGCACTAGAGTGAGTCACCTTCCTACAACCATGAACGATAAGATTGACTCAACGCTGATCATGGCTTACGTTGAGCGATGGCAACCGGATACGAACTCTTTCCACCTTTCATTTAGTGAAATGACGATCATGTTGCACGACGTCGAGGCCATCCTTGGGATTCGCGCAGAGGGAAAATGACTTTTTGTTGTGACTGATGATAGGCCGTCATCGAGCCTACCAAATATAAATCCTATCTTGGTCTCACTAAGTAGTAGCAAGGGTAAAAAAGGGTCGAACCCAAGAGAGGCGTTGAATCAACCACCGAGTACTACCGTTTAAACAAGTTAAATGAAGTCAAAATTGGTTGAGTTTCAAGTAACTTCTACTAATTCAATACAACTAAAAGCTAAGAGGATATTAACAATATTAAGAGGAATCTAGGGCTTGGGTTATACTACTCAATTTCATCACAAATCACAATTAGCATGCAACAATCAAGGTAAATTAAAGGGATAAATTAAGGGAAGTCATCTAAGGCACCCAACTACTCTCTCAAGCTAGAGGGATTACTTAAATCATGAATACAACCTACTCTCGTGGTTACAAAGCATAAAACAAGTGTTAAAGCATAATCACGATGACATAAACATTCCCTTGACCAGAAATTCCTATTCTCATGGCATTTCGGGTCAATCAAGCATAAGGGAGCTAACTCAAGTTCATCTCTCGATCCTTCGTTGAGAAAGCTTGGATAAATAATTCTAGCAATGGCCATATACAAGAACTAAGCAATTAAACCACTTAAGCTCAATTAATTAACATCCCACAACAACCAAATTAGCACATGCAACTATTTATTAGTGACTACATTGAGGGTTTTACCCAAACCCTAGAAATTAAACTACTCACAATCCATGGAGGTTAAAGCAAATAGAGATTTCAAGCAATTCATGAACAAGTTCAAACTAAGGATTAAGGTAATTAACAATCTAAGCATGCAAGAATTAAGCAAGTAATTAAAAACAAAAATAGAGAGTAATGGAAGAGAAGAGTAAGAAATAGTTACTATGAAGCTTCAAAGTGAGCAACAATGGTAGAACTTGTCTTCTACAATGGTTGAAATTGAATATTTCCAAGCTAATAATTAGAATCTAACTAATGATTTGAGAATTTAATGTTCTAGGATTACAAAACTAAGAGGAAGCTCTAAAAACCTTGCTGCCCCGTACAAATGAGTTCAAGGAGGGTATTTATAAGACCCACAAATAAAAAGGACGGAGAAAACGAGTAAGGAGTTCGACTGCAGGTCTGCACGGACGTGCCATATTTGGCACGGACGTGTAAGGCTCAGCACGGTCGTGCCAAGTTTTGCAAGGACGTGCAGAAGGGCCAAAAAGGAGGCAGAAGCTACTGCCAAGGTCTGCACGGACGTGCATATTTTGGCACGGTCGTGCATCCTTGCACGGACGTGCCATCATCTTGCACGCCCGTGCAAAATGCCCTGCCTAGACAGCTTAACTTTCGGAGGCTGCAACTTTTTCGTTTCTTGCCAAAAATGAACTTGTGACTAGTTGTTGGAAAGCTCTTGAGACAAACTTTAATCTCCAATTTGAATCGCTTCAAAAGGTTGAGTAGATCAAAAGTTATGATCAGTTGAAGTTGACGCTTACGCAAACGACCTTTCAAGGTTCTCCAAAAGATTTTCATTTCCCTTTAAGGAATTCCTCCTTCTTCCTCCATGGCTCTATCAACCAAGCTTGCCCTTATCTTGCTCACTCATGCTTAATCACATCCATAGTGCTAAAATTAGCTACATTACATCAAAAATACAAACAACCCGTGAAGCATGGATGGTACAAAATTTGCATAAAAATAGGTTAAAAAAATGAACTTTGATGTCGATTAATAACGAAAATAAGGTTCAAAAGTATCCTAAAATCATGCCAAATAACAAGTTATCAAATCCCCCAAGCTAAGCTTTTTCTCGTCCTCGCGAAAAACAATAATGTCAAACCAAAGAAGGGGAATAAGTTGTTAGAATCAAAACAAGGAGGGGCAACAAGGAAAATGCACATACACACTAATCCGCATGGTAGCAACCACAATCACTTTTAGCACAAGTGAAAAGAAATTTAAACCTCTAAGTTGCCCTAGAGGACGAATTTTTATCTCGTGAGGGCTTCCAATGAGCTTACCCACAACTCACACAAACCACAACAAAACTATCAAACTACACAAATTCCGATGTTATTATCACCCAAGTCAACTCATCGGGATATAAATCGCAAGCAAGACAAGTGAGCGATTTTCAAGAATTACCAATCATACAAATGTGCACATGATTTGGGGGTAAAGAGGAGAACTAAGCAAGATTGCACTAAGATACTTCTTTAGACCTTTTACTAGTTCATTAGAGCACACCTAGATATTCCAAAGTTTCAACAAGCCCTTTTTCGGTTTTAAAATCTCAAAATGCTAGTCCACCTCCCAAAATGCACACCCAAGGCCTCTTAACTACACTCTAACTCGGGAATTTCACAAGAAATAATGATGTAAACAAGGTGTGGGAGGCATCCACAAGTTAACCTCTAAAGAAGAAAAATTTGAGAATTTTCGGGAGAGTTTTTGTTCTCCCTTTTTATTCATTGTTTTATGCTCTTCTTTTCTTCTTTTTTGTGTTTTTTTTTTCAACTTTCAATGCTCTCACCTCTTTTAACTGTGAGCGGCTCTTTCTTTTATTAAGTACATGTGACTTATTATGCCACTTATTACACATGATACAAATATAACCAATTCCCTAATAGAGTTTCATTTTGGGGAGGAAAGGAGGCACATTAAGGGCACAAGGGACCGCAATTCAATTCAAACATATCCTACTTGAGCGAATTAGACAATATCCTATACTAGGTGTGCAATTGAGCATTCATTGGCTTTCATTTCATCTACACTAATGCAATCAATATTAATAAGCCTCTAAATGGCCCCAACTCTTGCATACACCCTTCTAAAAGAACTAGTACTCATCGCTCAAGAGTCAAGCAAGCAAACCATATAAGCATTGTCATTTGAGTCTCATCCTTGGGCAATTTTTTTTTTCATTTTTCAATTTTTTCATCATTTTTTTTTATGAAGAGAAAGCGAAAATATTCACATTACTAACTAGAGAGGGGACACTAATATTCACATGACAAGAGGTTTGGATTTCAAGGAAGCTAAATTGGATTAAGGGCCTTAGATATTAAGGAAATGAAACAACCAAAACAAACGCAACCAAAATAAACCAACATGTTAAGAAGGCATGCAAATGACTCCCCCCCAAGCTATCATAAACATTGTCCTCAATGTTAAGCAATAAAAGCACATAAAAAAAAAGGAGAAAGAAGACTAACTCAAGGATTGGGTCTTCTTCGACGCTTGAACCTC